ACGACAACTGTTAGTATGAATCATCATGTTTTGGACTTTGTTGATGAGACTTCGTTTCTTGGTATTGTAATAGATAATAAATTGCAGTGGGGTCCACATATATTCACACTAGCCAAAAGACTAAGCTCGGCTGCTTTTGCTATCAGAAAAATTAGACAATTGACTGATACTGCAACAGCGAAACTAGTGTATTTTAGTTACTTCCATAGTATAATGTCGTATGGTATTATATTGTGGGGAAGAGCATGTAGAATCAATTTTTATATTACAAAAAAGAGCAATTCGTTCAATATATAATTTACCGTGTCGCGAATCTCTTAGAGAACGCTTTAAAGAAACAGGTATTCTTACTGTTCCCTCTCAATATATATATGAAAATATTATGTATGTACGCAAAAACTTAAATTTATTTCCAAAAAATAGTCACTTACACGCTTTTAATACAAGGAATAAAAATAAATTAAATATGCCTAGTTATCGTCTCAAAAAAGTAAGTACATCTTTCATGGGACATTGTATACGTTTTTATAATAAATTGCCAGATAGTGTTTTAAATTTAAGTGAAGCCAAATTTAAGATACATGTAAAAAAAACACTTTGCTCTAAAGCTTATTATAAAATAAACGACTACTTAAATGACTACAATGTGTGGACTTAATTACAATTTTAACTTTTGTTATGAGCCATATAATTTTTCCCATTGACATGGATAATGTAATAACAATAAAGAAACTTATTATAAATTTTGTAATGACATATTGTAAATTAAATAATGTAAATTTAATATTGTAATGGGTGAAAACTGTGATCGGTACAGCCTATGCTGTAAATAATATAATTGACGTAGTGGAGTAACCTGAAACAGTCATGCTCGCTATAAAGTTCAAACTTGTGGCGGCGTGGTGGGCCGGGTCGATGTGCTCCCTCAAATATGGTTGAGTACAATGATGGCTGGCTCATACGTCATACTCGTGAACGGGTGCTGCTTGTGGGGACTGGTCTGTTCAGGTTGTGAACACTGATTAAATTTTTTGTTCTTTGCGATAGCATATGCTGGTGGTCACTCTATTCTCCCAAATTTGAATTTTAATAACTGTATTTATCATAAACATGTTCCACTATTATTTGAAAAAATTACGAGCTGAGTTTCTTGTCAGTTCTTCTCATCTCGATATCATTCCGAACTGACGGTAGATTTGACATATCATAAGAGTCTGTAATAGACCTACATGAATAAAGATATTTTGAATTTGAATTTGAATAAGCTATCTTACTGCAAAGTTTTATCAAAATCCGTTCAGCAGTTTTTGCATAAAAGAATAACAAACATCCATCCATACTCAGAAAGTTTCGCATTTATAATATTAGTAAGATGTATAGATATACAATTGTATATAATATATACTTCTGTTTGAATACAACATACAGAAAATGTAAATAAACATTCTATCTTAAGAATTATCATGTAAGCACTAACAACTGATAATGATGATGATGAAATGGAAATAGCAACAAATTTATGCGAACATTCAGGGTTTAAACTGCAAAATGGTGATACCATTTTTTCACTAACATTGATTATTTGTACTCACTTTCTAAATTGTATTTGAAATCACAATTTTTTGCAGTGTTGGTATATCATGTAGGTAATAAGCATACGGCCCATCTGATGGTAAATGATTACCGTAGTGTTTATTCACTTTCTAAATTGTATTTGAAAATAATTAAGCGAAAAATGCGCGTTAAATGAACGAATGACATTATAGAAAAACTCTAATGTCGATGGTCACATAGTGATATATAAAACTTCATTCATGTATTCAATAATAATTCCAATATCTATACATATAAATAAAATTGGAGTGTTTGTTTGTAATATTCAAAATAACCGTTTTTTACTACATGCATATGAATATAAATACGGTACATACATCAAAATATCATTACAGTTTTTGTCTGTCTGTCTATCTGTTTGTTCCGGCTAATCTCTTAAATGGCTGGGCCGATTTTGACGAGACTTTTATTGGCAGATAGCTGATATAATAAGGAGTAACTTAGGCTACTATCAACCTTTTTAGTTCTCAATACGACACGACTCCAACTTTATCTTTAACTTGCTTGATATAGCTGTGTTTTGGTCTTCCCCTTAATAAGTAACGATATCAAATAATACAAATATTTTACTAGATTGTCACTATTATTTGATATCTGTCAAAATAATGTTGTATTTAATCTATTTATTACTTTTCCCGCGGTTTCACCCGCATGGAAGTCTTTAATACCAATAATCATAGTCATGAATACAAATATTTGTACCGAGTGTCTTTTGTCTTAAAAATGCAGACAAAGTCTGGTGTACAACTAGTATATCATTCTCTTATCGAATGTAAAGAATGGGTCTATTAGAAATGGGTCAGTTAGGGTCTCTCTTAGTTGCTACTGTCTAGTCTAGATATTGGTGGGTATCATTACAAGTTTATCTACGGTCACAGGTTCGACCCTATTAGTGACTAAATTTGTGACGTTATTTCATTATTCTGTCTTATTTATTACTAATTATGATACATTAGTTTCATCTCATTTTCTGTGCGATATAACTTAATAATTATTATATCATCTGTGCCAATAGTTATATATTTAATTATTACTCTTTATACATACTACTAGCTACCTGCCCCGGCATCTCTCGTGTATATGTATTATACATATACACCTTCCTCTTAAATCACTCTATCTATTGCTAAAACTTTATTAAAATCCTTTGTGTAGATTAAATTAAAAGATCTAAGCGAACATATAGCGGAAGCGACTTCATTTTATATTATGTAGAGATATATATTACTAACTCCAAGTCAAACGTTATTTTTTTATATAAATGTCGCAAAAAAAATAGGGGTTGGTAATAGGAGAATGGAAATTTATGAGTGTATTTTTAATGACACATTATAAAAAATTGACAGAAAAAATATTTTTTGGATGGGTCATCCTTAGATAGGTGTATAAAAAATGATAACAACCTGACACTCAGATCTACGGGGTATACATAAAATTTAGAAATTCATTTGTAAATATAGCTTAAAACAGTTCAAAGTTAAAATGACATACAAAATCACACACACATGCAGATATGGTCCATCCCAACATGTGTTGCAAATACTAAATTAATCAGTTAGCGTTTAGTGTTTAGATTATTAACTATAGAGAGTATAAGTACCTGCCTAATCTCACTCTCAATAAAGAGTTGGTTAAAAGATCCACCGCTGCGGTTCAATGACCTACAGTGGAAGTTAACCTTTAGATGATACGGCCTATCAGTCGATTCCGTGCTGACATTTGTTAATCAGCACTATCGAAGTGACGCATTTCTAAAAAGATGTACCAATTTTATAAACCTTATTTTTTATTGAGAACGGGTGGTGACCTAGTGGTTTGCTACCCCGGTTTATGTATCACAAGGTCGTAAATTCTAATCTGACTCTAAATAACTGTGTCAATGCCATTTTTATTTATTTGTTACTAGCTGACGCGTGCAACTTCGTCTGCATTACACTTACTTGACATTTATCATTATCTATCTAACTTACTCTTACTTATATTATTATATATATACTTATATTATATTATATAACTTTATTACATTTTATACATTTAAACTCAATAATATCAAGAATGCTATTTCCTTTTAGTGGCTCCACTGAAAATCAGCGCTGCAGTGACACGCTGCGGCACCAGCTGAGAGGAGGCCCTTTCAGGTCACAATTATCGTTGAATAGATCTCTCGTTATTTTCAGTAGTCCTATCCAAATGTCCAAACCTGCACAGCATCCCCTTGTTATCTTTGTCATTACGCCGTCTTTCAACCTATAATTTAAAATACTGTGATGGCCCCTATGGTCTAGAGGTTTAGTACATCGCTTTACTTTCGATGGTCGCGTGTTCAAATATATATCCAATTGACACATTTCTTATAGAGCCATTCTCTACATTTGATAAGAGAATGGCTTGGAATTGACACACTTTTTCTGCATTATTGAAGACAAAGTGTCGGGTAGATACTAGCATGATATAGTGGTATAGCACACAGCCGTACTATGGTCGCGGGTTCGATTCCTCGCACGGTACAAACATTTGTATTCATGAGTATGATTGTTGTATTGGTTTGGGTGTCCTCTATAAATGTATATATTTACAAAAAATGTAATATGTATAAATGTAAGTACATATATATATCACTTGTCTAGTACTCATAACACAAGTTCTGCTTATCTTGAGACTAGATGGTGTTGTGTGAATGATCCAGGGGCATTATTATTATAGTATTTTTATTATTCTACTAACCTCGTTTCCCATTTCGTCGAATGTAATTCCCTTTTTTCGTATTGTATACAATATTTGTATACAAATACTAAATATAAACGGTTATCAATGAAAAAATTCCACTTTCCAATTATATCTTCCAATAGTCAATAGGTCAAGTTTATCTAAGTGTGTTTGTTTGTTAATATTTTGCTTGACTTTGTAATCAATGCATCCATTGAATGGAACTGCATTGCACCGGGTCGCGTGTTGTGATTACTTGTAACGTTTTGGTGTAGGCGGAAATAGAATGAGTGTATTAGGTTTTGTTATGAAACTGGTATACTATATAATATCATCTAGTCCTAAGCTAAGCACAGCTTGTGTTATTGGTACTAGACAAGTGATACTTATTTTTTTTTATAAATAAATATACATAGAAAACACCCAGCGTATACAAAACCATACTCATGAATACAAATGTTTGCACCGTGCGAGGATTCGAACCTATGACCATCGGAAGTACTGACCACTGCGGTTGTCAGGTTTCCGCACAGAATATTTGTGTGTTGCACACATGCTAATGGTAGAGAACTTAAACAAAATAATACATTATCATTAAGTGATTAAATGTACATCTATTTTAATAAAATATTATTTTATAAAATGGCAATGTTATAAAATTTAGATCAAAACTGTTACAGGTCTTCAAAAAAATGACGTCACGAAGCCGTTTCTGTCCAGCACGAAGAGGCGAGGCAGCACCAGTAACAAAGAGGACAGACCCCACTTGAAGATGGAGAAGAGCCTCATAGTGTCCAAGGTCACGAGATTCGAATATGAAAAGTAAGCAATGTAACAGTTATAAGCTGTACCCTACAATCGATTCCCTGTCCACCCTTCCGATCGATCCCCCGTCCAATTCAAACGGGGATCGAAATTAGCACGGCCTGAGCTGAGGTTCGGTCTGTCCCGCCTGACGGATAAGACTTTAGTTTGAGGACACCGGTCCTCAGCCTTCAGCCGCTCCATAAGTCTTTCCGCGGGTTTGTAGTGCCATCTGCACTCGCCCCCTATCGTCCAGCGAAGGCCAGGTGCCGCCAACAGAATTAGAGTAGTCCAAAATCTATTTTTTATTCAATTTCCATTGCATAATAATAATATAATTGTAGCGGAGTTGGATAGGGTATCCATAATGGGTATAATGTTCATAAAGTAATGAAATGGACTTCTGTAAAATAACACCTAATTCGAAAAAAAAGATTTGTCACATGTTATACCTACTGTGTTTTTTGATCTGTAATATAAGATCATCAACATTCCGATTAGAAAAAAAGTGTATAGTGAAATTATAAACTCTTTCGTTGTTCTCATAGGGATGTACAAAGAAAAACAATAATAATAATATTATATTAGGTACCGGATTTGGACAGGGTATCCATAAAGTTATACAGAATATATGTTCTTCCAATCAGTAAAAATATATATAGTTGCGTTATTCTATTAAGAAATAATAATTAAGGATAAATTCTTTATACACACACCAAAAATAAGCATAGACAGAACACTTTCTACCTATTTTTTCTGTTAGATACAGATATAAATAAAAAAGATAATATTTGAATAATAGTGAACATGGTCTTCCCACAGACACAGTCGAGAGAACATATCCGATGATGAGCTGGAGAGGATACTTCGGAAGCGAGGGTCAGACTACGACGCCATGCTACAAAACCATAAAGAACAGAAAGCATTCGAAGAAAGTGTTGCGAAGAATATGAGGGACATTGGATTGAAAGTGGAGATGGCTAGCAGGTGAAATGATCATTCTATTAACTAAAGTGGATTTTTGATAGCCTTGCTGGTGTCGCGGGTTAGCACACTACCTGACCTCCGATGGTCGCCGGTGCGATCCTCGTACGATACAATCATTGGTATAATAATAACCCAGGGAAATTCACACTGCGCCGTTCCAAGCTAACTGGACGAAATAGGAGAGCGAGATGAAGTTTGTTTATGAATGAAATAAACGAAAATGTCGCTTATACAGCATATTTTCCGTGACTTTGATATTTTTTTCTTGAACTTATGTTCCTTTGGATTATCTTAGTATCGAAAAGATTTTTTTGATCAGCAAGGTTGTCATCAGCATTTTGTTTCCACGTTTCTGTACACCAGACGATCCCCGTTCAATTCCAACGGGGATCGACATATTCGAACCCCTAGCGTCAGGCAGGAGTTGTCTTTCTGCTGCTCTATTAATCCTTCCGCGATTTTAGAGTACCATCTGCACTCGCGCCTATCGTTCGGTAAAGCTGTAAACGCCAGTTTCGGGCAACTGTTTTTGATAATTTGAAAAAATATGACGATATTAACATAGTGATGTTTTTCTAAATGAACTTTGTTTTTTTTTTGTTTCTAAATTCATGTAGACGGCTGTTTTTGTATACCAGGATTATCTAAAGCCTCGTTGGCATTTCAAAGGAAGCATGATTATATGAAACGCATTTCCGATTATTGTTATTGTAAACAAAAGTTTGTTTTGTTCATTTCTTATCGAATGATAATAATTCCGTTTACATGAACTTGGGGTTATAGAGGTGTTACGTGCGTTAATACATGTACACTGTTGTAACTAGAAGTATTGGGAGGGGGATTGTTAGTAATGTGGACTGATGATTCCATTGCTAACAATGTACCATGCCAGGTTGACCTCCACACGGTACCCTCTGAAAACTATCCCGGTGAATTTATCACGATGGGCTAACTGATCTGACTTCATGTTCATCCTATCATCCTCCACTGGTGCCCGCCAGGGTAAACCGTTAGCGCAGGCGGGTGCATCATTCCATTATCATCCACTAAAAAAAAACTAGAAGTATTAGGGAAACATCTAGTTACATTGTGTAGGTGAGTTGTGACCTAGTGGTTTATTATACTCTTCTAGACCAAAAGAAAATGGAAGAGAAGGGCTGAAGATCGTGCCCAGTAGCGTGCCTTGGGAGAGGCCTATGTCCAGCAGTGGACTGCAGTGGGCTGATGATGATGATGATGAGACTGAAAGATTCTTAGTTCAAATCTAACCGATATCAAAAAACTTTCTGTCAATTCATAATATATGTGAATCTCTGAAATAAAACTCTTTTTTAAAATTTATATCCTATATGTTATTCTGATGTATAACCTATATTACTGTAAAGTTTCATGAAAATCCGTTCAGTAGTTTTTGCATGAAAGAGTAACAAACATCCATCCATACTCACAAACTTCCGCGTTTATAATATTAATAAGATAATAACATATTATTTTCTCTCAGATGTGCGAAACTTGGGACCATTGTAGAGACGCCCGCAAGGTAATTGTGTCATTAGCATGAGATTAACTGAATGCGTTTGATTTTTATTAACCACTAGCTGTGCCCGCGGTTTCACTCGCATGAAATTTGTAGTTGTTATTCTGATGTATAAGCTATATTACTGTAAAGTTTTATTTAAATACGTTCAGTAGTTTTTGTCTGAAAGAGCAACAAACATTCATCCATCCATCAATTCATACATACTCACAAAGTTTTGCGTATAAATAATATTAAGTAAGACTAGCTGTTATCCGCAACTTCGTGCGCGTTGAGTTCAACTTTTATTTTGTTTCATTAATATAAATAGAATAGCTAGCAATGCACCATGTCAGCTTGACTTCTACGCGGTTCTCCTGGAAACCATCGTGATAATTTCATGGTAAATTTGCCAGATGGGCTAACTGATCTGATCTCATGTTTTTCTTATCATCCCCAACTGGTGTCCCGCCGGGGGGAAGGGGATTGTTAGTAACGTGGACTAATGACCCCATTACTAGCAATGGACCATGTCAGGTTGACCTCCACGCGGTTCCCCCTGGGAGCCATCGTGATAAATTCTTGGTGAATTCGTCACGATGTGCTAACTGACCTGACCTCATGTTCGTCTTATCATCCTCCACTGGTGTCCCGCCAGTGTAAACCGTTAGCGCAGGCGGGTGCGCCATTCCATTATCATCCATAAAAAAAAACTGGTGCCCCGCCAGCGTTAACGTTAGCGCAGCCGCGTACATTATTTTTTTATGAATGACAATGGAATGCATTATCATTCATAAAAAAATCTATGTATGTGTCGACATCCTAAACTATTGGGCATAATTTTGCTTTTTTAATTTTCTATACTACGACGGTGGCAAACAAGCATACAGGCCATCTGATGGTAAACGGTTACCGTAGCCTATGGACGCCTGAAAGACCAGGGGTGTCACGTGGGCTTTGCCGATCCTTAAAAAACCTTAATATACCCTTCTTGAAACTGCATCACTCGAGAAAACTTGCTTAGACCTTAAAGGTCATATTGTACATTATACAGTGTAACTAGCTGACCTGGACATGAGTTGCTGTGGCTAAGGTTCTTGAGTAAAATAATGTTGCGACTATAAATTGAGATGTAAGCTATCCTATCTTTCAAGTTATATCAAATTGCGCACAATGTGCAAATCAAAATTGCAGTCGGTTCAGTCTAGGAGTCCATCACGGACAAAAAACGTAATTTTTATAAATAAAGATGTATGATATTGAGCATAATTAATAATATATTTAATTGTATAATCTTTACGTTCGCCTTAGAGCCGAGTAGCAACGACCTCTGTCCTATTATATAAGGCCATAATACCCTTTATATAACAACAATATAATTTTGATAAATCTGAACGGAAACTCATTGTAATCATATTATCGGTCTTTGATAATATGTATATGGAAATTACGAGTATTGCAGATGGAGAATTGAAAAAAAAACGAATATGTTTATGATATATTTTTTTTATTATCTAAATTTATTTTGCGTTTTTTGTAACATAAATTGAAACGAACCTTATTATAACAAATATTAAAGCTACTTAACAATAATTAAATAATTACCGAGTGAGAGCTATTATACGAGCTATTTATCAAATTCCTTGTATCAGCACACACAAAGCGCAATCTCAGAAAAAAGGCAAATAGTAGTAGACCCTGAATAACACACACATTAAAATCAAAATTGATTTCAAAACTTTTGATAAATATTTCCCTCTCTGCTCGATTCCTATCATATTCAATCAATAGGTGCTGGACATTTTCGACTTTTTTACACACAACACAATTTTATAATATATTTAATTACACTACTACTACTAATTTACAGCTGATCTATACATCTATACATATAAATAAAATTAGAGTGTCTGTTTGTAATATTAAAAAAACCGTTTTTTACTACATGCATATGAATATAAATACGGCACATACACCAAAATATCATTTATTACCATTTTTGTCTGTTTGTCTGTTTGTTCCGGCTAATTTCATGCGGACGAAGTCGCGGGAACATCTAGTATTTTCATATAACTAGGTTTAACTCCGGTCGATGCTCGAACCAAAGTTGATTTTAACAATCAGTCAATGGTGAAAATTTGATCATAATTAATTTAAATCATAAGTTTGAACATTTTAAGGTTCTATTATTACAGACTTGCGTCACATATTATTAATATATAGATTACTTTGATAACAGCACAGAAATGACTGTTTCTATTTGCTGATTTGGCAATTACCAATATTGACAATGACCAATATTGCCATTATTTTCATTGACGCTTGTTATCAGTCGTGTAATATGACGGTACCCATTACCATAATATTACACGACTGATAATTTTTTTTTATTGATTATATGTGTTTATATTCGTTACTAGCTGTATCCTCGACTTCGTCCGCGTGGAATTTAACGTTATTTTTCTAAAATAAAAGTAGCCTAAGTTACTCCTTATTACATCAGCTACCTGCCAAAAAAAGTCCCGTCAAAATCGGTCCAGCCATTTCAGAGATTAGCCGGAACAAACAGACAGACAGACAAAAATTGTAAAAAATGTTATTGTGGTGTACATATGTACCGTATTTATATTCATATGCATGTAGTAAAAAACGATCATTTCAATATTACAAACAGGCACTCCAATTTAATTTATATGTATAGATTAAAAAAAATCTCGCTGTACTCGTTTTCTACATAAACTATAAGTGTGAAATACTCTTCAGTTCGCGCAATTTTCTTAAATAGGGGTCTAAAGTTTTACATAGTATGAATATTATGATAACCACTAGCTATACTGGCAATATATATGAATAAATAGCTTCATATACATATACATATACCATACATAAATACAAATCTAATAATCTGACATGTGAAGTTCGTTGTCCAACGTATTTCATATGTATATACTAGCTAAACACCCGGCTTCGCACGGGTGTACATGTATTATGCATGTAAACCTTCCTCTTGAATCACTCTATCTATTAAAAAAACTGCTTCAATATCCGATGCGTAGTTTTAAAGATTTAAGCATACATAGGGACGGATAGACAGCGACAGCGACTTTGATTTATACTGTAAAGAAAACAATCTGCTGACAGAAAAATCAATATTCATAGTCGATAGTGACTTCTCACTATAGATTGTAGAGCTGTGTACCAGATAACCATAGTGTAATATTTGAAAGATTTTAATGCAGTTAATATTGTAGGCTAATTAAACTGAGGAGCAAAAAAGGTTAAGTACCTACAATTTATTTTTGGTTGTTAATTATTAAATAAACCCCCGTTTTGCGATAACTTTAGATAACTCGAGATAGTCGCGGTAAAAAGTATATATATTCGTGTATAGAGTAGGTAGGTATAGAATAGGTATGAGTTTTTAACTAACTCAATTAAAAAAAAGGTTTTTTTTATGTTTATAGAACTAGTGGATTTTGCCCAGACGCTTGTTGTTGACTTTGTTGTTTGCTAATATTTGAACTAATATTGATGATTTTTTTTTAATCGTTTTCGTGTGTACTCTGTGATTACTATACCTACTCTGTATGTATATACAGAGTTATAGCACTGTTTGGAGAAACGTATCTCACGTTATTGGACCAGCTGTCCGAAGTACTGGCTTAATGCGTAGAAAGGGCAGGTATAAATGGATAGGTATTATTAACTGTTATACTGATCCATTTATTTACACCATTAACTGCCGAGCCAAAAAAATTATAAGTTTAACATTATCATGATGCGGTTTTTTTGTTTAAACGTTATCGAGATGTTTTTAGCTACAATTTTTTGTTTTTTATGTGAATGTTATTTTTTATAGCTACAATTTATTACCTAGTCTTTTTTGTTTGAAAGTTATTTTGAGTTTATGATTATTATTGTTACAGATTAACATACAACGATGAACTAATCAATTGGTGTGACGTAGTGGTGCCGTGTGGTGGGGATGGCACCTTTTTACTGGCCGCTTCCAGGGTACGAGATGCAAAGTAAGTATGCGCTGTAGCATGGTGCGGGTGACAGTTACTAATTTGACTTTTGACAATTGTTACATTTAAGTTCTGCCTGAAAGTAAGTAAGTGCGTGCGTAAGCAGTGCAGTAAGTGCGTGTTTACGCACGCACTTACTCACGCACTCACTCACGCACTCACTCACGCACACACTCACGTACTCACTCACGCACTCACTCACGCACTCAATCACGCACTCACTCACGCAAGCATCATATTACCACGTCACCACGCGTATAATTTACGGAGGGGTAATAATAATAATGATGATTGTTTCAGTAAACCAGTGATAGGCTTCAACAGTTCCCCGCAACGGTCTGTCGGGAGGCTGTGCCTACCCACGTGGTGCTCCAACGACGTCAAGGGTGCGCTACACGCATTGAAGGAGGTGAGTTTTAATTATTTTTATATATTTATTTACCAAATTACATGTTTAACACTTATATTTAATACTAGCTCTGTGTCCGCGTTTTAACCAGCGTTAAATTTCAATAAAAAATATAGCCACATATAAGCTAGTCTCACGCAAAAACTACTGAACGGATTTTGATGAAACTTTACAGTAATATAGCTTATGCATCAGAATAACATATAGGCTATATTTTACATTGAATTTAACGCCGGTGAAACCGCGGGCAGAAATAATGTCAAACCTACTAACAGTTCCGAGTGCTTTCGAGCTAAGAAGAACTGACAAGAGACTCAGCTCGTCGTATTATAAATATATATATTGACCAGTTTTGATATATATGGTATCTTATACTATTCGCAGGGCAAGTTTAAGTGGCTGCGCAGATCACGAATTCGTACGACAGTGTCAAGCGTGCCCAAACTACTCGACAAAATTACACCAGTCGATCTGCACACACTTCACTACTGCAGGTACCACAACAATAATTTAATACAGTATTTGTATATGTATATATTATTTCTTCCATCCCATCTGCTTATTTGCTAACTCGTTTTAATTTTGAGAAGGTCTCTGTGGTCTAACGGTTTAATTTAGATAGTAATCTTTATTTAACGGGAGAAAGGGGTCTCTTAGTGAAGTAAGGGGACTACTAGCCCCACTGTTAGTTGTAAAGGAGAGAGATCAAAGACGAGAGATAAAAAAAAACAAACCGCGACTATATTCGCAAATATTTTACTGACTAATGTCATATATACCTAATATAAACAATATAGTTGTTATAAAATATATAAACTAAAAAAGATATATAGTGTAGTTTCCAACGCTAGCAATGTACCTCTTGTGCTAACGGTACACGCTAGCTGGGCTCCAGTGGAGGATAATAAGATGAACATGAGGTGAGGTCAGTTAGTCCATCGTGGCAAATTGGGTATATGCACTATTATATGTATTGGGCATATGCCTGTTATGATAGTGTGTATATAAATAAATAAATAAATTCACCAGGAATTTATCACGATGATTTCCAGAGGGTACTGTGTAGAGTCAACCTGACATGGTACATTGCAAGTAATGGGGACATTAGTCCACATTACTAACAATCCCCTTCTGTGTATATTATGTATGTGTTTCATAAAAAAAACAGTGTATGTATATCATTTGTCTAGTATCCATAACACAAGCTCTGCTTAACTTGAAACTAGATGACACTCTGACAATTCAGAGGAATTGTCCTTGTTTATTAATAAATTATTATTGAAAAGTAGCAATTATGCACATAGATTTTTAATTTAATCTCTACCGTTACCCAACAGTTGGGATTATAATTTTGTCGTACGTCATTTGAATTATACGACAAATTGCAGATACCCACCAGTGTCTCACTTCCAGGACACGGAGTGTCAGCCCGACCACACAGACCAAGACGCACCAAGCTCGCAGCTATCCACGAAGGTGTTGCCATTTTTAGCACTTAACGAGGTATATTTATTTATTTTTAACTTTAAATTAAAGTAAATGTTAGTTATCATACTCCTCCAAAACAGCTTTACCGATTTCTGTGAAATTTTGTGTGCATATCTGGTAGGTCTGAGAATTGGCCCACGTCTATTTTTGATATCTCTAAATACATTTTGACAGTTTTCTTATTATGAATTATCATTGAAAAACACATATAACTTCAAATTTTCTCCCTTTTACGATCAACCCCTTTTTTTAATAGCAATATTAATTTATATGGCAAAGCAACGTTTGCTGTGTCTAAATATGTATATATAATTATATTGTTTATTATTATAGATTTAATAAAGATAAACTCGTTCTTGTACATTACATTTATTATATCATTGTTTTAGTCCAATATATGTGTAAAATAAAGAATCAATAATGAAAATCAATGGAAATTTCCAGGTGTTCATAGGCGAAAGTGTGACGTCACGAGTGTCGTTGCTTCGACTGCAGATCGACAATGGCAAGTGGACGCAGACGAAGAGTTCAGGGCTCTGTGTCACAACCGGCACGGGCAGTACTTCATGGCATTTCAGGTACTTTATAATTAGTATTTTATGTTTTATTTTAAGCATTTCATGTGGTTTGTATTTAATATTTCGTGTGGATTATAGACTGCAATAGAAAATTATTTATAATAATAATGGATAATTCACACAGCGCCATCTAGACACAAGCTAGCTAAAGCTTGTGTTATGGATACTAGACAACAGATATAAATACCTAGATTTTTTGTAAATACATACATAATAAAATACATAAATAATCCCATTACTAAAAATCTCCTCCATGCGTATATTGGATTTTTTATTTATTTTGTTTTGTAGGTTATTTTTAGCTTTTCCCTAATTCCTACCTAACCTAGTCTACTAACGAACGCGTATAACTGAGATAAATGTAATTTCGATTATAAATTTATTTAGCTTTAATTGTACATGACATAGCTTACCGCCATCTTTCGGATTACTTTGGATTTTTATCAGCGTTTTCATCGCTTGAGAAATACAATTTATAATTTTTTTTATCGGTCTGACTAGTAAATCACTGGGTCACGGCTCTCAGAAGTGAATCTAGTACCAATTCCTCAGTTTGTAATTAATCTTTATTGATTCCAGTATAAATTGCCTCAGAACCCACTCGGTACTGGAGCTGATGAAGATCCTCGGTAAGGACTTCGACGTGAAGTTGGATACGCGGCTGGAGAAGGCACGCGAAGTCGCAGAAAGATATAACCAGAAACTGATGTTCCCACCTGGTGAGTCTTACCATCGAATTACCGGACCCTAACGCAAGGTTCCGCACCTTAACGCATAGTTCCGCAGAATAACGCACAGTGCCGCAAACTGTAGTATCCCTGCCTTATGTCAGCCTTCACCAAAATACTTATTTGGGTCACGAATTAAAAAAGAAATTAGTATGATAGATTTTAAATATCTCTCTTTATACAATGTATAATTGAACTGGAATGTTTTTATCAAATCAAATTGAAATATCTTCATACGTACGGATCTATAGCAGGCTCTTATGATATGTCAACTACTCTCTACTCGCTGTTCAATGCTTTTGAGCACTCCCGCCATACATGTTCGCCTGTAATATTTGTATGTTTCAATTTAAATAAATAAGTTATTTCCTATCTTTTAGCGCGTCAAAGACAGTACTTTGTACGTTTAAAGGCAGCTATTGATAAAATGTTTTGTTTGTCAGATTCGCGGCAGCTGGCGTACAGCGTCCGCGAATACATCACGTTCGAAGAATGGCCGGCGCCACGTGGCCTGCGTGTGCGGGACTCCGCCGCATCTGTGCGTGTACGCTCGCACTGCACCGACGCAGGTATAAACTATTCTATTTATTTTATTTTCTATTTATTATACTGTTAGGTAGAAATTGTTCACAGATTACAAGTGTCATTAAAGAAAACCTAAATAATTTGTATTAATATAATCTTTATATAGTATAAAATAAAATTGCCGCCGCTATGTCTTCGCTTATATCTGTTAAGTTATACAACGGATTTTAATGCTGTTATCAGCAATAGATAATGTGAAGGAAAGGAAGAAGAAGAAGGAAGGTTTATATGTATAATACGTGCGTGTTATAGTATATAACAAGCTAAGAAATTTAAAGTTTTGTTATGCATTCGTGCAAAGCCAGGACGTGTCGCTAAATATAACCTTAAATATTATAATAAATTTTTAAATCATGAACTCATAATACTTTACTAATATGTACTTTATTTAATTTATATATACATAAACATTAATTACAAATAAAATTACCTGTCACTGGGCTTTTTAAAGAGTGTGCTGGCCACTAATGTGTTAATTTGAAATAATGTTTGCGTAAACTCAGTTTTATCAGCATATCAAATCCTATTCCGTTGCCATCATCTGCTTCTTCCTTATCCCATTTATTTGGGGTCGGCGTAATATGTTTTTCGCTTCCATTCATCCCTGTTCGCAGTCATCGCGTTATTTACTTCCTTTCTTACCATATCTTTCATACAGTCCATCCATCTCTTTTTCGGCCTTCCTCTGCCCTTATAACCATCCACATTCATATGTAACACCTTTCTTAAAATATTATTCTCGTTCCTACGCATTACATGTCCATACCATGATAGACGATTACTCTTCAACCTCTCTAACACCGGTGCCACTTTCATACTTCCTCTAATGTATTCATTCTTTATCTTATCCATTCTTGTCACGCCACATATCCACCTCAACATTCTCATTTCAGTTGCATGTAGTCGTCTTTCATCCGTCGCCTATTCCGTTGCCATTCTAATATATATATGATGGCCTGGTTGGTCTAACATTTAGCATACCGGACTTACTTCATTACCTACCTATATACCTACTGCATTTTTTTAGTCAACCAATAAACTATAGTGGCTTTAAAAAGGCGAGTTCTTAATATTATATTTTCGAGTTGGTGCAGTTTTTAAAGTGTGTATGTTTTGTCTCGTTCATTCAGGATTAGTGGTCGATGGCAGTGTCTCGTTCCCCTTCAACGATGGCACTGAAGCCTTACTGGAGATATACCCTGAAGATTCCCTGATGACAGTGCAAATGGATGAAGCCCTACCCCATTAACAAAGTAGAACTCGCAGTGAGGAACTATTCAATTTGTATACAGGCATATATTTATTTGGCTATGTGGACAACGCTATATATATACTTCTAAAGAGGTTATATCACCACTGTATATATATTACAATATACATATGTATTTCTATAGTTTTATAAAAAATACCCCTTGTTTACAAAGACCAGGTTACTTGATACACCTTCTGTTATATAATATATCAAATCTATACATAAGAGACTATTTAAAATTGTATTTCACACAATTTCGCAATATTATTTGCTTAACAAAAAATGTTCGAATTCATGAATTATGAACTTCTACTTTTGAAGTCGGTAATTAATTAGCGAATTAAGAAAGGGGGCTAGATTAAATTTGTCGTGATTGAAAACAACTCCAACATTATTTATTGATGCGTAAATGACCTAAGAATCCAAATTTAATTCTTTTCTTTCAAACAGTTATTCATTTCGAATTATCTCATCTAGTACTGTGCCATATCTTTATAGCTTGACGTTAACGTTGTTGTTTTTTTTATATTAAATTTTGAGCGCATTTGACTGTTATTGTGATGTTACATTAATTTTGTTATGTAACATTAATTCTGTGATGTTACATCAATTTTGTTATGTAACGTAAATTTTGTACTGTTACTTTATCACAACAACGATAATTTTGTTACGACGCTTAGTTACTTTTGTAATATTTACAGTAAAGTCGATGGGACTTCAATGGGATTATTAGGTTACACGTTAGGGGAATAAATTGTGATATTATTTATTGTGACAAGGGGTTGAAGATGTCATAGTTCGTGTAAAAAAATCATGAAATCTAGGGCCATTCCCACCTACCTAGGTGGTTCTTAGGTTTGTGACATTTTATTTCAATTATATGAATAAAACACGAAATTTTAAATATATAAATGTGTCGGGCTGTGCGAGGGGGTGGAGTAATGGTAAAAATGACTGCAATTAGTGTGATGTATGTAATTAACGAGTGACCTCTAATTAGAAATGTCAATAAATAATATTTGGGTTGTAATTTGTTAGTAAACCTGTTGAAACTGTGATCATTTATGGCCGTTCGCTATTTTATATTTTTTTTTGTAAATAATAATCACATTAGTGTAAGACTGAGATATAGGGTAAGAGTAATTTTTGTTTATATATTTGTTTGTTTGAATAAGAGGTACAAAAAAATTTACGCGTGTTCAGGCCACGAAAAAAGCGACTTCAATTACATTAGCGTTGTTAAAAAATAGTGATAAGATATTGATTATATTTACATTGGATTTCAAGCATGAGCAACACCAATTTTCAAATAAAAAAATCATTAAAAAAACACAAAAAATGAGACCTCCTTTTTTAAGTCAGTTAATAATATATGTGACGGCTGCAGTTTGAAATCGGATAGTTTGTGATGAATTATATATCAGTTGATTACATTTCCCCAGCATAAAACTGAAATTTGAAATCAAAAGCATTTATTCATGTAAGACATTTTAGCCGTGTATGGACGTTCAAATTTATACAAGTCCAACCCGCAAAAGGACTTCAAGTTCAGCCGCACCATAAGTCCTTCTGCGGGTTTAGAGTGCCATCTACACTCGCCCCCTATTGTCCGGTGAAGCTGTAAAGGCCAACAGCATTAGACTAGTTTGTAAAATCTAGTTGAGTTTCTTGCCAGTACTTCTCAATTGAATCTGTATACTGAACTGGACGGTAGAGAATAAAATGTTAATTCAAAAACTTGACTTTCATAAGCGGCTAATATGTTCTACTATGTTTTTCACTTGATTTGAAAAGAAAGTCCATATGCTTTAAGCACCGACGTGATAGTTTATCTTACGTATTAAATTTACACTTTAACATGAAAATATCTATAAATACAGTTATATAGTCATTATAAATTATATTTATTTAATGACCAAACAATACAATTGCCATTAAATATTTTATGATTTATGAAAGTTAATTGTGCGTTATTGTAAACTTTTATTATGTCTTATGAGTTGCGTTATGTAAGAGAAGTGAAGATTAATTTAATTGTAATATATTAAATTGTACGTAATTACTTTCAGTTTAAGATAAATACACTTCGAAACTGGTACTAAGGTGTAATAGTGAGTTGTGTCTATCTTTCCACAAGACCATTACAATAATCAAAATAAACTTGTTACTGAATATTCTATTTGTTTGATTTCATATAAAAACTTCTTAACTATTAGTACAAAAAATATCTTCACAACTTTAATCTCAGAGGGGTAGCCAGAGATATTGTTAACGGTTGACGTTATGGGGAATGGAATACTTGACTGGCCCGCATTCCGCTGTGTATGGAATCAACCATGTCAGAGGTCAGCCTATCGCTTTCCCTCGAATTTGGTTTATTTATCGGTGTTTCCGTCACCGGAGGTTTAGTCAGAAGAATAAATTCATATGGCAAGTTTTTTGGTGTCTCTCAGAGTTGAACTCGCTATCTTTAGGGACGAAGTTGGTAGTAAACCACTAGGCCTCTATTACAGTATACTTAGGGACAATAACATAAGGTAGGGAATATACAGCGCCATCTAGTCTCAAACTAAGCTGAACTCAAATGGCTGTACCATAGAGGTCTTTATTGTCATATGTATATTTTTGTATGTAGTATTTTTTTATTATTGGGGGATTTGGGCTGTGTTGTTATTTAGCCTTGGACTTTTAGCACTGCGACCTACATAGATCTATTGTTGCTCGCCCTTTTTCAGAGTTCGCTACTAGACCCGTCAGGGACAAGAATTGAGGGGTATTCTTGGGAGCGATGGTTTTTATCTCCTCAGTATAGAGTGTATACTTTCAAAAGGAGATATTTCGTTTATGCACGAGTGGGCTACAACCACATAGTATGTGTAGTGACGTTTCCTCGTTAGTTTGGTAAAATCTCCAGATTTTTGTTGTGCACAGGACAGGCCTATGTATGTTGTTTGTATGTAGTAACTACTGGCCGTAACTGAATTTTCAAGGATAGATAAAGGATATAGGAAAATAAAATAAATACAATACAATACATATGAAGTCAGTATATTTGTTAAAAAAAAATTCGTACATGATCACTTACATCGCCGATATCGTTCCAGAACCCCATTGTATTAAAAAAAACTAGTATATTAGTATACGAAATAAAAACAACAATGGGGTAATTATGAAACACATATCAGAACTAATTCGTTGTTATATATAGGATTATAAGCAAAAGCAACTTAAAATATAAGCCCGAAAAATAGCACCGTTAGGACGGATTTGGCATTCCACGTGGAATGTCTTAACCTTAAATAACTTAAAATATATGGCATCCGTTATACGTTCAATCAATAAAAAATACTCTGATGGTTGGTATATAAATATAACAGTTATTTTTCTACCGTAAAACATTTTTTGCAGTTTACCTCAGGCATAGAAATAATATTATAACTTTCATATATTTTTCCTGTGCCTCAGTGGATCAGAAAAGAAAAACAATAAATGATTTTATAAAACATGGTAAAAATGTTATACATTTAGGTATTCTTATAGCTATCTCCACACATTTAAACATTAAAGAAATCGTTACAGAAGATCTTGAACTAAAAGAAAAACTGCGAGAGAAAATATATATGGCCCGCCACCGTTTAATAAAAAGGCCTATGAAACTGTATATTAAAAACAAGTTTGAAATTAGAATATAATATTAATGTCTGGATTATTGTAGAATAGGCTGTATGGTATTGATCTTTTGCCTTTTCACTTAAATTGGAATGTACTATTACTACTACACACATCTGTACATCGGTACTTTATGTCATGTCTTGATCCGGAAGTTTCACAGGCCAAACCCATAATAGAATCTAAATCCACATTCCTCAGCTAAATATTGTGCTTTGATCACATTATATATCTATTACGTAATGTAAGGCAACCTTTTAGTTAAAATACTTACAATAAAAATAAAAAAAAAACTTAAAATCAAAATGGAGACGGGGTACGAATTATCACAAAATAAATAGGTAGGTATTTTTTTAAGTATGCTCACGAAATTCTTAAATATATTGGTAAATAACTAGTGCTTATCTAAATTTGACTGATCGTTGTGATATGAACACAACATCTAATATTAATAATTGGATTATATTGTAAAATTTAATATAATATTGCATTAATTCGTAGCTCTAAGTTACCAAGAACTCAATTTATTACTGCGCTTCTTTTATATCCAATCAGACCGCCATATTTAAAAATGAATTTCACTTCATAAATACAAATATGTTCTTTTTACATAATTTCTCTATGATATTATCGATTCTTTTTTCAAATTTACACTAAGGAACTATATGGCAGTATAGAACGTACTTATTAGTGTTGTCTGTGGATATTAAACACTGACAATTGGCGGTAAATAATACATTAAATTCTTTAGTTAAAAAACCAATCACATTTTTCTCCCAACTTTTGAGAACTTATTTATAATATTTGACTGGAGATTTTCTATATTAACTCGTGTGCGAATAACCAGTGTTTGTATAAGGGCCGCTGTACAGTGAGCTGCCAGTTCTCGAGTAGGTCTTGGGATTTCGTCGCCGGGCCAGTATGAATGCGATGGCCGCAATTACACATATCATTAATATAACGCCTGCTACACATATTGCGATGGCGAAGTTACGTTGCGATATGCAGATTTCGTCTTCTTTCTGTAATCAAAATAACATTTATTATAATTTCATACATATTTTTATACCTTCACGACTTATCCTAGATGAGGTAGTTAGAGGTATTATCCTTTGTCAATGTTCTTCCGATATATAACAAGTTTCATTTCAATGAGAATCTAATTTCGGCAGTCTGAACCGTTGTTCGAGCCTCGGTGCTCTGAGTATAAAGCGTATCCGTCAGGCAGGGCTCCAGCTGGTCCTAAGTCCTTCCGCGGGTATGGAGTACTCCTGAACTAACTGTGCTCATAGGCCAGTTGAGGCCAACAGCCTTAGAATGGCTAAAAAAACTGACGCTTTGTAGGGGTTCTTGTGATTAGTACCTATGTCATGTCTATTTTTATTAATAATTTATGAATATGGAAAAAAATCTATAGCTGATTTCAGTTTAGTTTGAGACTAGATGTCGCCCTGGCCTATTTCTTTTTCAAATATTCTTAGCGAAATGCGGGCGTGTCAAGTATTGTGGTCCCATATATAGACCGAAGTTGTTCTAGTTTTCTAGTCATGTCATCATTACATACATTATATTTACATTTATATCATGTAAATACATACATGGATTATCTTAGTTTTATCTACCTTTTCGCTGGTAACTTCATCATTGTCGAGTGAGTCTGCTTCATTGACGTACAGTCCGGAGAACACTTCCACAGTCGCTGGGGAGCCCTCGTCCGATTGACGGCGAACTCGGTTGTTCTTATGTGCACATGGCTCCTAGAGTATAAATGACAACAATATCTTTGACTTCAATTATTTTATCTCTACTATATTACAATATGGGGGAAAGGGGATTGTATTGTCATATGGATTGACTACTCTATTGCTAGCAATGTACTTTGTCAGAGTTCTCTTTGGAAACCATTCAAAAGTCAAAAATCATTTATTCATGTAGAACATTGCAGCCCCTTATGAACGTCAAATTTTCAAAATAATATAAATTCCTATTCCGTCCATTATGATAAATTCCTGGTGAATTTGTCACGAAGGGCTAACTGACCTGACCTCATACTCACCCTATCATCCTCCACTAGAAACCGCCAGCGTAAACCGTTAACGCAGGCGGGTGCAACATTCCGTTCTCATCCATAAAAATACAATAAAATACAAAACTAGTTCCATACTACATACCTACATTTTCAAATATAAATATATATAGCTGCATAATAAAGCTCAAATTCATGTTGTTACATTTTATATACGTATTTTCTATACTATAGAATAAGCATAATCTGAAAACTATCTGGTGTTCCCTCATATGTTAATATAATACTAGGGATGTAAAGTGCACTTAGCTGACCTTAGAATCCTTATCATGACCTTATTAAATAACTCTAGAGAAAACCTTACACAGTTCATTCCACAATGTTTTTTTTTTTTATGGATGTTAATGGAATGGTGCACCCGCCTGCGCTATCGGTTTACGCTGGCGGGGCACCAGTGGAGGATGACAAGATGAGCATGAGGTCAGGTCAGTTAGCCCAACGTGGTAAATTCGCAATGAATTTATCACGATGGTTTCCAGGGGGAACCGCGTGGAGGTCAACCTGACATAGTACATTGCTAGTATTGGGTCATGAGTCCCCATTACTAACAATCCCCTTCCCCCCATTCCACAATGTTAGCGGAGTAAAGCTGAAAGTTATGATGTTGCAATAGTACGAAGGACAATAATTTATTCTGATTAATATCGTAAGGGTTTGTTTTAATTATAAAAAACATATCAGGTTTACTTACACAATCAGTGGGATGGTTCAAATCGCACAGTTTTACTTCGCAGGTGTAGTACACGCTAGCGGTGTATGGGAACTTGTGAGCCGGGAACGACACGCTCGCCTCCTGTTTGTCGCCTGAATACTGGAACATGCCCATTATCTCGCCGTCTAATGGACATCTGTATATAAAAAAAACACTTAATACACGTTCATACATTGACGGCCTTGGTGGTCTAGCGGTTTATCACACTGGCTTACGTTCGTTGGTCGGATGTTTGTGTCCTCGCACGGTACAAATTGCATGTATGAGTATGATTGTTTGTATTGGTCTAGGTGTTTTCTATGTATAATATGTATGTATTTACAAAAAAAATTATTTATATTAGTTGTCTAGTACCTAGTACCTACCCATAATACATGCGCTGCTTAGCTTATATTCACGACAAAATGTTTGTATGAAACATATGTTTATTTTATATATGTATATTTGACTTTTAAATACTTACTTATTGCTGACTCACACTCACATTATAATGAATATGTTGTATATATTTTTTTTTATTACGAAATTTGAGTGCATTTTATGTCAATAATTGTCGCCGCCATTTCATCCTGTGTCTTTGTTTTGGCACCTGCGTGCGTAGCACACACACATAGGCAGCGGAGTTCTATCTATAGTGTATGCATTACATTTTACGGGATATTTCAATCTTACATAAAATAGAACATCCTTTATCCAAATAAACTTAAGTCAAGCACTATTGAATAGTCATTTTTCTTTAATCTACGGCTCATTTATAAATAATTCCAACACGAGAAGAATGAAACGAGTAAGAAACTCGAGTGTTTTTGATAAATATGTTTAATACTCGCCCATCATCAGCGATGAGACTCTGCTCAGCCCAGCCCAGTCCGTCTCGCACTGCGCACTCAGACACCAGCAGTCCGTACTGACGCTGCTTCTCCAGAGATACCACGAGGGTCAGGGCATCACCTATACGTACTGTGGACGCTACCTGCAATGAATAGGAGTAATATCGCTTTTATGGGGAAAAGGTATTGTTGGTAAAGGGACCACGTGGACTCGAATCCTAATAAAATCTTCTAACAGGTCAACCTGGTGTATAGTTTAGCCTACGTCACTTTGAATTACGGAACCTAACAAAGAGTGAAAGAAAATTCTGGAATCAAGAAGTTACTGTTCCGGAGTATATTGTTTTCATAACAAAATCCTCTCTCTCTCTCTCTCTAGACATTTAATCTTTCTGCCATTGACAAGTCTGGCATGAAGATAGAATTGTAGAATTTGTTACCTCTTTATCTTTAGGATCCCCTTTGAATATTTTCATAGTAACGGACGGCAGTAACCCTGAATCCTCGTCGTATTCATCACTGAAAATATAATACAAAAATATTTATTAGTCTTATAAATTTTAATAGTAATTGTAACCCTATTTATATACCGCCATATAAGTTCCAAACTAAGTAGTGCTTGTGTTATGGTTACTAAACAAGTGGTACAAAATACAGTATTTTGGAAATATCTGCATAACTAGCTTCTGCTCGCGGCTTCGCTCGCGTTAATTTATCCCTTTAGGGGTGGAATTTATCAAAATCCTTTCTTAGGAGATGGCTACGTCATAGTAGATTTATGCAAGCAAAGTGTCAGCCTGATCGGTTTAAATTGACGAAGTTTCATAAATACTTTCATCCCCTATTTTATCCCCTTGGGGGTAGAATTAATCAAAATCCTTTCTTAGCCGATGCCTACGTCATAACATCTACCTACACGCCAAATTTCAGCCCGATACGTCCAGTGGTTTGGGCTGTGCGTTGATAGATCACTATGTCAGTCATGTTGAGTTATATATATATAGATATATATATAGAAAACACCCAGACTAATACAAACGGTCAAGGCAGTAAAAATTAAATTTGTATATGTGTAATTTCACTGTCTAATAGCACCCAAATTCTAATACAATAGAAATATAGTTTACAAAGCAAGTTGCTTGGTGGCTGAAATAGGTGAGACAGAGGTACGCAGATAACTTTCTACAACCTACCTCGAGTATATTTACATTGAGAAAATAAAAACCATTACCATACTCATAAATAAAAAACAGGTTTTTTAATTTTTTCAATAGTTTTTTTAAAGTATGCTTTAGCATAATGTGCATTCGCCAAAATCAAGGTTGGGAAACGGGAAGGCGGAGATTAGTTAGGAACGGAATTAAATCGCTTGATGTCTTTTGTATGAACAGTTAATATAAATGCTAGGCAAGCAGAATCATTGATGTTTTCATTTCCTGGCACATTATTAATTATTCTTCAAGGTAATTTGTTAAATGTCAAGGTCTATGGCAAACTTCATTATATTCTGTATTGTTTATACAACTACAAGTTTGTCAGACGTACATATATTAAATAATTTTAATGACAAACAAACTGACGATCTATCTTGTCGGTTACAATGGGATACATGAATAGGATCAATGACGTCACCGATTTTTTTTTAATAATGGCATGTGAGTAAACTATTTGGGAATAACTTGATGACAAGTGATTACCGTTGACTAGGGATGTTCGATGAACATAGATGTTTTTATATCGACATCAAGTCTTCTATAACATCGATATCGATTAAGTTACCGACAACAGTAATAAAAAAACAAGAACCGCAAACTGACATCACACCTGATGTCCTGTAAAAAGGTCATTCCATTATAATTATTGGTCTGGTTGTTTTTAATGTATATTATCTATGTATTTACAAAATATATTGATGTATTTCTGTCAGTTGTATCACCCATAACACAAGCTCTGCTTGGCTTGGGACTAAATGGTGCTGTGGGAGTTGTCCTCATTCATTATTATTATTATTCGATATGTCTAACTATATAAAATCAGATAGATCGAAATGAAAACTATCTAATAATAATACCCAAGATAAGCTACTCGATATTTTCTTTCAATATTTATTATTAACTAGCAAACCTGCGCAACTTCGTCTGCATCACACTTACTTGACATTTATTGTTATGTGTTATTCTGATATATAAGCTATATTACTGTAAAGTTTCCTCAAAGTCCGTTTAGTAGCTTTTGCATGAAAGAGTAACAAATATCCATCGATACTCACAAACTTTCGCAATTATAATATTAGTAAGATAAGTAACTTATATATATATATATATATATATAATAAAATTGGAGTGTCTGTTTGTAATATTGAAATAACCGTTTTTACTACATGCATTTGAATATAAACACGGTACATACACCAAATTAACATATTTTACAATTTTTTCTGTTCGTCTGTCTGTTTGTTCCAGCTAATCTCTGAAATGGCTGGACCGATTTTGACGGGACTTTTATTGTCAGATAGCTGATGTAATAAGGAGTAAGTTAGGCTACTTTTTTTTAGAAACATAAAATTAAATTCGACGCGGACGACGTCACGGATACAGCTAGTTATAAGTATAAATAATACAATTATATATTATGCTATTTAACTTTGCGGTACCATTTCAACTTTGCCACCACTATTTTTTTTAATTGTAGGTACAATTTATTTTTTCTGGACCTCATGTATGCTGTGTGTTTGTAATTGATTGGTAAATATAGAATCAATCTATCTATCTATAAGTACTTCAATATCTATAAATCGATGTTGATATTGATCATCATTCTATCATCATCCATAAAAAAACATACCTGTAATTATCAGTATCGGACAATGAATTGCTGAGACGGTCAGCTCTTGGCCGATGATGGTACACGTGGAAGTGGGTGAGGTCGCGACGGCTGTACCGGCATCTCACGTGGTACCCTCGACCCTGGCCGGTCACCAGCTTCAGGTGAGGCTGAACGATGATGTTGTTGAAGTATTCCACTGTGCCGTCGTCCTGGAGATAAGGAAACCAATATTTATTTTCACTATATACCCTAGTCTTCTCAGTATACCTCTACAGGGTTATTTTGGAAACGTAAGAAAGACAGACCGGTGAATGAATGAATGAATTATATTGCACGATTTTCATATTGCTTTAAATTTTGAACAGGATAATATTTCTTGTAATTAGTGTTAGTTGATACAAAGGTGTATATAGAAAGATAACTGGTAGTTATCTTTCTATATACACCGTGCCCCCGGTTTCACCGGCATTAAATTTCAGTTATATATTTCAATATAAAATATAGTCTATGTGTTATTTCGATGCATAAGCTATATTACTATAAAGATTCATAAATATGCGTTCAGTAGTTTTTGTGTGAAAGAGTAACAATCTTCGATTCATACTCAATAAAATTAGTAAGATTAAGGTAGTTACCGAGTAAACTAACTTAACTACCTAATATAGGGGGAAGTTACTTTATTATTAGATTGTTACTTAAGTGGACTAATGATCCCATTGCTAGCAACATGCTATGTCAGGTTAACCTGCATTCGATTCTCCCAGAAATCATCGTGATAAACACGTGGGGTTAACTGACTTGCCCTCATGATTATCTTATCATCCTTCACTGCTGCTTTGACAGCGTAAACCGTTAGCGTAGGAGGGTGCTAATTTTATTATCTTTTATTGATTTAAAACTACCTTTTCATTCTTTCTATACTAGTAACTCGGTATTTAATTGAATAGAAATATAAATAATCTTTATTCAAATTAAAAGAAACTTAATGTAAGCACATTTGAATTAAAAGCAGTGAAATTAAATATAATTATGAATGTAACTATGGGTAATATACCCATGGTGCAGCAGACAAGCGTGAGCCCAGCCACGCACAACAATGAGGGGACGTGACGTCACATCCGGTCCGTTGCACACACGAAATTATGAAGGATATCGATTCAATGATGTGAATTTTTAATATTTAACGGTAAGACTGATTGATTGGTGATAGTATTGTCTAATTTGATTTATTGTTAATAAATTGATACTAAGTAATAAAATTATGGAACATGATTTTAAACTTTCGCATCGCAAATTTCCAATGTTTTATGGCTGGCAAATTTATTGGACAGAGTTGTAACATACTTTTCAACACTTCCATAATTGTGATGAAAATCACATCATTTTTAACTGACTAACAGAAACAAGTTTTTTTTGTTATGTTATCGTAATAGCAATGAAGCTGATGGTTAGCGGTAACCGTAGGCCAAAGTAATGTGTCGCCTGAAAAATACGAGTAAGTGATACCACTCATGCCATTGCCATTCCAGAGGTCTAAGATATCTTATCCTTAAAATCCTTCTTGTCCTGTAACATCAAGTTCATATAAGAAATGAGGATTTTTTAATGTTTAAATGCTTTATTATAATCAAAATAATATTCGTTTCTGTGGAACAATACATTATTCTTCTATACTAGTTCGTGTCCGCAACAGTCCGCTCGACTATAACGAAATAAAGTTACATATGTCTTTCTCTATCTCAAATTCTTAATTTATGTCAAATTTCCTGAGGGTTGGTTAAGCTGTTAACTTGTGGTACTGCCATAAACAAACAAATTTACTCATCATTGCCCCGTCTATATTCCATTATTTAGGGTCGGTTCAGTATATAGATAAATGAATAAAAAATGTATTTGTCTAATTATTTATGTCAACTTGTTCCACTGGTCCCTATCAGCAGTCATATCTGATCTTATACTTTTTGTGCATCTCACATAGTCCATCCCTCCTTTCTTGAGGCTTTCTCATCCTTTACATCCACTCCATTGACTATCGCATTTTTTTTATATAACTTAAAGCATATGCTTTAAGTTATATAAAAAAAATGGTAAAATATATATTTTGAAAATACATATGGCAATTTTAATACCATACGGTTTTATCTACCTGTCAACCACGAGTGGTGCAGAGAATAATAATGTGCAATATAAATAAATGATATAATAATATTATGAGTATGTTTAAAATTTGAAAGTTATTTTTACACCTTCACATTTTTTCAACGTTTACAAAAAAGTAAACAATCTAGACTTTCTATTCTCAGCTAAAAATGGATTGCTATGATTGCATAAAGTTATAAATTATGTCTGGGACAGTACTAAGATATAATTTATGACTTACTGAACTTAGTATGTAATTTTTTTATTATTAACGTTAAACTATCATCATCTCAGCATGGAAGACGTCCACTGCTGATAAATCTATGTCTGGGACAGTACTAATATATAATTTATGACTTACCCTGAATTTCAGTTAGTATGTCAATTTTTTATTATTAATGTAAAACTACTAACCAACAGCATTAGAGTAGTAGAAAAAATATTAGAGTTTTGTCAGTATAAAAATCGCGATGCGAGAATTACAGTGGTTTTACTTAAGGCAGTTAAAAGTAGTATAAAATAACTTTGTATGTACTACAATTTACTGCGGAACGTGATCTTAAGGCTGCATTACACGAACAATAAATAAAAATAGAATGTTACCGCCTCTGGAGAAAGACAAGTGACCTTTACCTGGCCTTGTATACTGGTCCGACAGTTGTATGATACATACGGTGCCATACAAATTCGACCACTTGGTTTTATGAGAGCAAATCTTTTTACATCTTAATAATATTATAAACGCGAAAGTTTGTGAGTATGGATGCATGTTTTTCACGTAAAAAGTACTAAACGGATTTTGATGAAGTTTTACAGGAATATAGCTTATACAACAGAATAACATATAGGCTATAAATATGCACGCCTACTATAATAATATTTTTATTTATAACGACCCGTCCAGGCTTCTTACGGATGCATTATAAATTTTTGAATTACTCGGTTTGTTATATTTTATAACACGCATATATATAAAACTTCCTCTTGCATCACACTCTATCTGTTGCTGAAAATTGCATTAAAATCAACGGTGGCGCCTTTGTTTAATATTTGCTTATCTGTGGTGTTTAGACCATGTAAAGTTAGGTACATAGGGAGAAAGGAGATTATTACTAATCTGGACTGTTGACACCATAGCTAGCTATGTACCATGTTGAGTTAACCTCCCCCAGTTCTCCACAGTTCAATTTGTCACGATAGGCTAACTGATCTCATGCTCATCTTATTATCCTGCACTAGGCAACTGATATATTTTTTTGTAACCTAGCAAAATGTAATGTCAATTTTTGCAGTCTACTGTCGACGATGCCTGCCTATCCTATATGAACATGCAGTCGTGAGTATGTTTGTTTATATAACTGCTATATACTACTATATTTTAATTAAATACAAGTTTGTATATGAAAAATAGTGGGTACTTGTACAGACTCATTTTCATGACCACAACTGTTATTATTATACGCTGATGTCATCTCGACGGAGATAATCATCATTATCATCAACGTAATGATGTGATGGATCATTATTTACTATCGTATCGCAATCTCGAAATTAGTTTCGTCTATTAATCGACTGTGAATTTAAGATTATTATTTTGTTTATTTGTATATTATTTTGTTTGACGGCCTCGGTGGTCAAGCGGTTTAGCACTGCCTTACTTCCGACGATCGCGGTTCGCTTCCTCGCATGGTACAAACATTTGTATTTATAGTACGACTATTTGTCGGTCTGGGTGTTTTCTACGTATAATATGCAAGTATTTACAAAAAAAAAACTATCTATGTATTTATATCAGTTGTCTAGTACCGATAACACAAGCTCTGCTTAGCATGAGATTAGATGATGCTGTGTGAGTTGTTCTGAGATATTATTCTTTTTAAACGTAGCAGAACTAAGTGGCAATTAATAAGGCCATCATATGAGTTAGCAGAAATGTTTTTGCCCGAGGTGGTGCCAGTAGAGGGGTAATGCGTTATGAGTAATGTGGCCTCGATTGATTTTATATAACCGATTTGAAAGGCGTGGATGGTAAGTGTTTCTGATTTAGACTTATTAAGGTTATGCCGTTTTATGAATACTACTGATCGTTCAGTCTTCGAAATTCGACCATAATTAATTTAAATTATAAGGTTGAACATTCATCAAAGACTAGATAAATATTATTAAACACAAACAATATTAATCTATTCTCAATTTGACCACAGACTTTAACAATAAACAAAAGAGTATATACGCTTGTGTCTTATACATAGTAGTGTTTAATGTCTTTTTTATTGATTTAATATATTTGCTATGTATAATTTAGAAAAAATATTCGCATTCTGCCCTCCTTACCCTCCACTAAACTATAGGTATATATAGTGCGAAATTTCGTACTCCTATGTCCAAGCAACTGTCGAAAAATGGGCACAAAGTTTTTGCTTCACGTTTCAATATATATATAAATGTTTTCATTCAAAGATTTCTATTTCAGCCGCCATGCAGCTTTGTTAAGCTGTGGATCGGTTGAGGTTGAGATAAGGCATTGAAATTACAGCATATGTTAGCCCTACAGAATAGCAAGGCATGCGTGGTATCACGGGCATCACGTGATAACATGATCTCTATGATTCTGTTCATGTATATGTCTACCACTTACCATCTTGAACTGTCAGCTTATTTGCTACTTTAGTTACATAAATATATAAAAATTACACTATTTTAGACTGTATTAAAAGAAATAAAAATAATCTTTATTCAAATAAACTTTTGAATAGTCATATATATTTATTACTCTACTACTTATAGGTTGTATAAAATTTTGCCAACTCTAAACTTATATAACTACATTTAGATGCACATTGCAGTCCTTTCCTTTTTATAAACCATTGCTTATTTGTAGCGAAATAAAATGTTGACATTTCAAATAAGGCAGCCTCATTGGAACAACATTAGTAAAGAATCAATGACAAATAACATAATGCGTTAAATGACGCCCACACCGACTGGTTATATTAACATTTTATTAGAATCTACATATTATAAAATTGTTTTGCAATGATTCTTTGTGATTTTATTAGATGCTGTAACC